ATAAGTCATTTTTAAATTTTTCTTGGGTAAATACCTAGAATTTTTTTTTTTTTTTGTCTTTTTGAAGCAGAGTCTCACTATGCAGTTCAGGCTGGCCCTGAGCTCATTATATAGCTCAGGCTAGTCTTGAACTCATGACAATCCTCCTGCCTCAGCCTCCCAAGTGCTGGGATTACAGGTGTGCACTACCACACCCGGCTATTACCTAGAAATTTATGGATCATAAAGTGGGTGTATGTTCAACTTTACAAAGAATTGTCAGTTTTTCATAGTAGCTTTTTGTGCCCAGCCATCTTTCAGACTTCCCTTGTTATATTTTAATGAGTTGGGAAAACAGGAAGACCACCAAACTATGACCTTCTCACTGCACCTTTATTGGAAACCTTCCTGATGACAGACTCTACAGGTCTGCTGTGTACATGAAGTTCTTCAGGAGCCAGGTGATGGCAATTCCTTTATTTACTACTCAAATATATTCCTTCACAAGTTCACCTTTTGTCTTTGCACAAACTAAAATTCTTCAGTTGTCCCCCACAAGACGATCTCAGCCAGACCACAGCTGAACCACTGTTCACTTGATCTTTATTATGACATTATTATGACGTCAGTGAAGTTAGGAGAAATCCCTGCAACCAAGGCAGCTTCAGTGAAGTGCTAGTCTAGCTTCTTCCTGCCCACTGTTCCTGGCCTCAGTTTATCTCACCTATGACCAAAACATCCTGAAGGTTCCCACATGCTGTCTTGTACCCATCACAAACCATGAACTCTGCCACCCATTCCGATTGCTGTCAGCGCCTGCTTCAAAGCAGCGCCATCTCCGTAGGCAGGGGTCGTATCGGCATGCCATCCCCACACCCAGCTCACCAAGGAGCCCTGTTTACTAGCTCTGGGTGTGGTTTACTTGCCAGCTGTCTACCACAAAGATCTCTCTTTTTTTCCTTCTAAGATGGAAATATCTGTATCACTGTGTGGAATTACAGGTGTGCACCACCACCCCTGGCTCTGTTCTTGTAGCATTCCTAAAGCAATGTTGCTCCCCACAACGTTCTCCATCCCTGTGCGGGTGCGTGGGAGGGGACCTGCACTGTGATTCCCAGGCTGTTTTCACAACCTGCTGCTTCTTCCGCTGCCTGCCAGACAGCTGCCTCCTGCATACCTGGCTTTCAGCAAACCTGCTCCCTCTGCTTTCAAGGGCCAAACTGGGCCTAGTCCTGACCCACGTCATTTGCGGCTCAGCTCTTGGCCCACACAGGTACAGCCCTCCCTTCAGGAAATGGCCTTATCTTTGCCTTCCCCACAGGCTGTTGCCTGATAGAAGCTGCTTTGGGCAGAACCTTACCAATATGTGGAGTCTAAAAAGTGTTTCCCACTTTGATTGAAAAGGGAATTTGTGGTTTTTAAAATTCACTCTTCTTTATAATTTCCCAGGAAAAAATCAAAATAAAGATTCTTGTAATTATGTTCCTACCAAAAGCCTAGGGCTGGGGACATAGCTCAGCGGCACAAGTGCCTGCCTGGCAAGTGCAGGGTCCTGAGTTTGATTCTCAGTACCAAAAAAAAGCCTAAATGAAGTAATGTTTGACCCAGAACCCACCCACTATTTCTGGAACAATTCAGTCACTTTGAACTTGGTCAGCAAGTTTTATTAGAAACACAGTTGGGGGTTTTGGAACTAGGACTAGTAAATTTTGTATAGTTAAACAGAAACTTGCCACAGTGTAAAATAATTGTAAGAAAAGAAACTCAGTAAATCTAATTGAGCATCTGCTTTGTGTCTGGCATTTTTCTATACAGTTAGGTGGTAGTTACTGTTGGTGCCTCAGCCCAGTTCATTATTAGAATGTTGTTTCCCCAGAACGTCAATTCCTTGGAGTAATACAATCAACCATTATCTATCTAAAAAGTGACCAAAATGTTTCAGTATACAAAAGTACCAGTGGCTTTTTTTTGCCTTTTTTTGGTTGAACTGGGGATTGAACTCAGTACCTTCATATTGAGCTACATCTTCAGCTCTGTCTTGGTTACTTTTCTCTTGTTGCTGAGACAAAATACATGATGCCCAAAATTAAGGAAGGAAAGTTTTACTTAGCTCAGAGTTTGTGGAGGTTTCAGTCCATACTCAGCTGGCTCCAAGACAGAGTGGTACATGGCAGAGGGCAACAGTTCATGGCACCAGAAAACAGCAAAAGCAACAAGTGCAAAAGCGAGGAGCAGCAGGCGTTGGACCATGAATCAATCATAAACTTTAGAAGCCTGCACCCATGACTGCATGAGGCTTTGGAGGGACATCCAGACACAAACTATAACAAGATTTCCAATTTTCTGAAAGGGGATTTTGGAATCATTGTAAGCACCTCATGAGTAAAGTATTGTGCGCGCAAAATGGATTAACTAAGAGAGGCTGGGATGGAGCAGGCACTGGCTGAGTATGAGGTATAGGACGCAGGGCTGTGGGGCAGCAGGGCAGATGTGAGGGACATGTCTCGGGGCATGTGCAGGCAGCCAGTGCTGCGGGGAGACTGAGGAGAGGAACCAAGAGTCAGGTGGAGCTGATGGCCACAGGGCAGTGGAAGGATGTCGCAGCTGCAAAGACAGTCCCACACCTGGATCAATCTGTGTTTGTATTACCTACTTGCTTGTCCACAGTATGATCACAAAGTCCTTGTTTTAGACTTGAGGTTCTCAGAAAGATGCTGAGCTTAGCATGCAAATTTAAAGCAGAGTCCTTTGAGGATCCAGTGAGGGCATGAAGGAAACAGGGAGGGCAGTAAGGAAAGTGGAGCTGCGATGTTGCTGCAGCAGAGCCCCCAGCTGGAGTCGTGGTGGCCCACAGACTTGCCCCAAACCTAGGCCAGGGGCACTTGCCTGTGTCCCCTTGTCATCCATCACTGGACAGGAGCTGCTCCCAGGGAGGTTCTTTGGGAGCAGCTAATAGCCATCACTCCTGATGGGGAGCAGAGGAGTCCTGACCAGAACTGCTGCTGGTTGTCTTCTTTGGTCTCATCTTTCCCTACTTTGCTCCTATTCCCCACTCCCACACATTCAAGTTACCTACAGAAAAATCTACCTGCCACTTCCTGAACACACACACAGCTTCTCAGCACTCCCTTACCTTTCCATATGCGACCTCACCAGCTTAGAAAGCCCTTCCTGGGGCTGGGGATTTAGCTCAGTGACAAAGCGCCTGCCTGGCAAGCGCAAGGTCATGAGTTCGGTTCCCGGTACCAGAGAAAAACCAAAAAAAAAAAACAACAACAAAAAAAAGAAAGCCCTTCCTATGCTCCTTCTATGAAAATCCTGCTGCTGCTGCTGCTGCTGCTGCTGCTGCTGCTGTCTACTTCAAAAGCTAAGGCTGTTAGGAAAACTTGCGGTGGAGTCATTTTCCAAGAGTCTCATTGTGATTGTTGTATTTGTCTTGATTGGACTGCAGTTAATCTGTTTGTGTTTTCCTTTATCAGACTGCAGACTCAAGAAGTGCAGAACTTACTCTTTTATCCTTTTATTCCATGGTCAACACTCTGCTTAACACAAAATAGGCATCCAACAGGTCAAATTTAATTGTATCAAATAGTTCCAAAGCGTTGATAGTTTGTTGGGGAAAAAAAAATCTCCACAAGGAGTTGAATACCTTTGGTTCCACTGGTATTTTTCCTTTTCATGGGAAGATAATCAAATTAATCCACTAGACCTACAATAAACAGCTATTGGTGAGCTATTTTTGATTGTACTCTTTTTTTGTTGTTTTCTAAAATAAGGTCTTACTATGTAGTTCAGGCTAGCCTTGAACTCACTATGTAGCATGGGCTGGTCTTGAATTTATAGCAGTCATCCTGCCTCAGCCTCCCAAGCGCTGGGATTATAGACATATGCCATCGTGCCTGGACTCTCTCTGTTGTTTTTAAAACCACATGAAAGTAACCGTCATGATATATACAATTCAGCAGCATTTAGTACATTCATAATATCTTGTAGCCATCCTGTTCAAAAACATTTTCACCACTCACAAGCAAATGCATTTCTGTTGTTCTTATGCAAATCACACCTGGTCTGTGCTCCCCAGAAGCTGGCAGCATTACAAGGACGAGATGGCTCTAATGTCTGAAAGTGTCGGGAAACCCACCTTTGTGCAGAAATCCTGCTGGCTTGTTTTCTACAGCTGTGCTACCGAAAGAGAGGAAACACTTTTTAGTGTTCTGAGAGGGTGATATCCGGATCTCAATTCCTTGCACTGAGGGCAAAACCCCCAACTTTGGAACAAGAGCAGGCTGAGGATCTTGAGGCCATGGGAAGATCCCGCCCTGGGGTGGAGGGATGGGCAGCAGTAGCCCGTGCCTCACCACAGCTTAGTGCTGTCTGTGCAGGGAGTGAGGGGAAAGGAAACTCCTACGGCCAGTCTGTCCCTTGGTGCCCTATTGCTGTCACTGGAATTTAATGAACAAAATGACAAGCTCTGCCAGGAAAGGGAAGGCACCCTTTAGTTGAGCAATTCTAAAGCCCATCTTTCTCTAGGACTTAAGAACATAGACACTGTGCATTAATCATTTATTTCTTTCAGTTATTCAGAAATATATTCCATTTTACAGATGAGGAACCCATGGCTAAGAGCAAAGTAACATACTCTGGCTTAGAAAGAACACAGGGCTAAGATTCAGGGGATCCCAGGATATCACATAGAGGTTTTCTCAAGAAACACTGCCCAGGAGCTCACAACATGACAGTGAATCCTTGTCGCACCCCATGTGAACTGTTTACATCAAATCCTTTGGTTCCTCTCCTGGGGCGAATCCATGACATTTACAACACATGGTGAAGTGTGGACAGGTAAGCAGCCTTCACTCTTCTACATTATGAGACCAAACACAAACATGATCAAGAGAAAAGACAGTTCTGTGAGACTATGTACAAGGTCATTTTATTTTCTATCCAGGTAACAGTATCATTTTAATTTTTTTTTATTTTTTTTTTATTTTTTTTATTTTTGAGCAAGAATGGAACTCAGGACCTTGTGCTTGCCAGGCATGCCCTGTGCCACTGAGCTATCTCCCTAACCCATAACTTTCTCTTTTAAAACCACTTTTCTTAAAGTAAATTTTCTGGAACTACATTCTTTGTAACTAAGGAGCATGCAGTAATACGTAAACTTAACAGAAGCATTTTAACTCAATTGCTAGCAAGAACGGTTTTGGTTTTGGAGGGACCAAGTCTCATAGAGCCAGTATTGTAACAAAGAAGTGAATCCTTGTATAATATGATCTGTAAGTCATTTTTATGCCACATCAGCAATAACTTTCAGTATTCTTCCCTTAACTGATGGCACTTCAGAATGACCAGGGAGGTATCTGACTTAACTAGCACACCTTATTTTCAATTTTGAAGGCTATAGTTGTGAAGAAGACCTAGATAAATATGTTCTAAGCTTATGTATTATCATTTTGTGGTGCTGGGGACTAAACCCAGGACCTCGCACAAGCTAGGCAAGGGCTCTATTCTCCTAATCCCCTGTATATCATTTTTAGGGAATATTCACCTATTATAAGTAAAACAAAACATGTCCACATGAAAATGCAATTATGTTTGAGTTTCTACAAGTGTGTTTGGATCTTAAATGCCTTATATTTTACATTTGAAAATCAGACCACACTGTCTTCATATCCTTACACTTGTAATCAGCAGAGAAAGTTTGCCTTTAATTAACAAATAATTCTTCACAAGAAAAGGATTGAGATATAGGTTCATGATTTCACGCATGGTTTCTGTACACATCTCACGTCACAGAATATGCCATGCTTCAGATATATTATTAGAAAAACAATAGGACAGCATGTCAAAGTTTTCTACATTGTTTCACAAAAGCTACAAATTTCAGGGTCCATTTCCCTCTGGAGAGCCCCGATTGAGGTTAGAGGGAACAGTCTTTCTCTTTCAGTGTTTTCCATACCTTCATCACTGTTCAGCATTCTCTTCAGATCTGCCTCTTCCTGCAGGCAGGCCTGGGGAGAGGAAGGCTGCTCAGTCCAGGTGAATCCTTATGGGCTCACCTTGGCTGTCAGAAGAGGAAAAGCTGACTGCAGGGTGAGAAGCCCACATCTGGCTGTGCAAGCCAGCCTTGCTCCGGACACCCGCTCGGGAACCTCTGACTAAAACCCTCTAAGTATGCTCTGAATGTAGGCAGCTCATTAACTTTGTGCTCTGTGCTTTCATGCTTTACAAACCATCGTGGAGCTCATGATCCATGGTAGACTGCGTGTAAGAGGAGCTGGGTGTATCAGCAGAGTAAATCTGGAGGAGTGCACAGTACTGGCAGGGTGCAAAAGGGCCCCTGCAGGTTTTGAAGAGCTGCACGATATACTTGCGAAATTTCTCCCCCAGAAAAAAGTAGATGATTGGATTCAGGCAGCAGTGAACAAAAGCCAGGGTTTCTGTGGCCTGGAGAGCAAAGTCCAGGTACCTTTCCAAGGTGCAGCTCTGAAGGACTTCCAGCTCTACCAGGGTGTTCAGGAAGAGCGTGATGTTGTACGGTGTCCAGAAGCCCAGGAAAAGGACCACCACGGCAAAGATCATCTTCACCGCTTTGTTCTTCTTCTTGGTTTTACAGTGCTGCAAGGTCCTAATGATCATGGAGTAGCAAAACAGCATGATCCCCAAGGGGATCACCAGTCCTAGAATGTTGATCTCCAGAGAGCTCAGAACCTTCCATGTGGTGGAGTTCACAGAGTACCTGGTTTTGCAGTAGGTGTGGTTGTGCTCGGTGTAACAAGTGCTGAACAGGAGGCCAGGAAGGGAGGCGAACACTGCCACTGCCCATGTAGCCAAGCTGGTGACGACCCCATAGGTAAAGGTTCTCACCCTCATCGAAAACACCCCGTGCACAATGGCCAGGTATCTGTCAATGCTCATGAGCACGATGAAGAAGATGCCGCTGTAAAAGCCCACCAGGTATGTCCATGAAATCATCTTGCACAGACCTAGCCCGAAGACCCACTGGTCTGCAGTGTAGTAGCCCCAGAACGGGAGTGAGAGCACAAAGAGCAGATCCGAGATGGCCAGGTTGAGCAGGTACACATCGGTCATGGACCTGAGCCGCTTGTACTTGAATAGGACCAGCACCACCATGGAATTTCCAAGCAGACCAAACAGAAAGACCAAGGAGTAAAGAGGAGGCAGGAAGAGCTCCCCAAAAGCCTTGACGCCTTTTTTGTCACAAGGCCCGGGCATACTGTTTTCATAGAGGTAGTAATTGCTATAGATACTTCCGTCCACGGTGGTGTCTGCTGTGTCAGTGGGGTTCATTTTTTAAATCTACAGGCTCCTCGAGGCTGGTCTGGGTGTAAGCAGAAGAGGCTAATGAGAGGGACAGCAAGCGAGATTCCCGTAAGAACAAGGGTCAGACACAGACAGTGCACAGCGCAGCTGCACACTGTTCTACCCTAGGTCATTTATTTATAATATGTACTATATGTTATGTGTAGTATCTAAAGTCCAGGCAATATATATAATACATATAAAAATAAAATGTGCATATAAAAAAACCTACAGTATACTTTCCCCAGCTGAGGACCTCAATTCCTAGCAGGGCTGGGCAGCCGCAGGAAAGAATCCTGCAGCCAGATGGGCTGGGCTTACATTCCAGCTCTGCTACTCACTGATCCTCTTAGCCCTCTGCTGCAACTTCAGTTCTCACTGGTAAGTGAGGACAGTAACACTCCTTTTTCAGGGAAGTGTATTTCAAGAATGTGAGGGCTTTTAAAAAAAAAAGTTCTCCCTATGTAATTCAGGCTGACCTTAAACTCACTATGTAGCCTGGGCTGACCTCAAACTTGCACTGATCCTCCTGCCTTAGCCTCCTAAGTGCTGGGATTACAGGTGTGCACCGCCATACATGGCTAAAAATGTGTTTCTAAACCATATTACGTAGTCTAGAGTTACTAAATTTACTTTCAGGGATGACAGCATCAGTGCATGCTCCCAACAGTACTGCACATTCTGGCCCTTTCTCACATTAAAAAAAAGAGAGAGATTAAAAATGCATACATGGGGTTGAGGATATAGCTCAGAGGTAGAACATGGGCTTAGCATGCATAAAGCCCTGGGTTCAATCCCCGGCACTGCAAAAAAGAAAACATTTCCACCTCAGATTCCAGGTAATCTTATTTCACTATAAAGAAACCAAGTTAGTCACCTGCCTTTATATAAAAACTAATTCCTTTTGCACCCTTTATATAGATTTCAAAGCACGTTCACCAATACTGCACATTAAAATATCATTCACAGCAGAATTCTTGTATGCTAAGCTAAATAAGCATAACCAAATCAGAGCATATAAAAATTAGTCTAGATTCCTGGAGAAAGCAGTACTTCAAAATTGACAGAGTGGGCTATCACGATCATCACTAAGCTCAAGAAGACTTTCAAAACCATCAAATTGGAGTCCAGCCTGGGCAACTTAATGAGAGCCTGTTTCACTTTTTCGTTTCTTAAAAGGGGCATTTGGTGCCAGATGTGGTGGCACACACCTGTAACCCCGGTAATTAGGAGGCTGAGGCAGGAGGATCAAAGAATTCGAGGCCAGCCTAGGTTACATAGTGAGTTCAAGGTCAGCCTGAACCACAAAGTGAGACTCTGTCTCAAAAAGGAAGGAGGAGCAATTGGAGATGTAACTCAGTGCAAAGTCCCTGGGTTCACAATCTCCCCTCTGCCCCTTAGAACTAAGTGACTTCCAAAGGCCATACACGTGTGTGTAGAACTTGCTACTTGGACCCCAAGTCACAGTTATGAGCTGGTAAATGGGATGTAGGACTAAGGGTGGGGAAATGCTTCACAGCATTTGCTGGCCCCTGTGGCATACATCCTCCCACAGTAATCAATTCCAAGCTACCAGCTGCCTCTTCAGACTTCTGGACATGTAATAATCTCTTAGGAGCCATGGTATACATGGCTCCATTACCTCCCCGCCAAGCCTCTATGTGCTCTCTTATGTGCTCTCTTAGGAGCCATGGTATACATGGCTCCATTACCTCCCCGCCAAGCCTCTATGTGCTCCAGAGCACATCCGGGGAGCGGCCACACCTCAGGCCCTCTAGGAACATGTGGCCAGTCCTGAGCCACATTATCCTAATGCAGGCAGTGGGTTCTAAAGCCTTTCAGGAGGTTACAATATTCTGGTACCTTGAGGAAACTTTTTGGTCTTTTCATCAAAATACATTTAAATCAAAAAACAGTTGAATGCATCAAATGCTTTAACAGTAGAAATTAGAAAATTCCTTGATTACCAAAAATTAAAAAAAGAAAATCCCAATAGATCTTGAAAAGACATAGCCAGAAAGAAAGTCTCCACTACCCCAACCACATTCTTTTGTTGTTCTTCTCTTTTATTTTGTTTTTTTGAGGCAGGGCCTTGCTAGGTAGTTTAGGCTGGCCTTGAACTATGTAGGCCATGCTGGCCTCAAACTCTAGCAACCCTCCTGCCTCAGCCTCCCTAGTACTGGGATTACAGGTGTGCATCACCATGCCCAGCTTTCATTTTCTATCTAAATTGAGAGCTAAACTAGGTCCGTGGCGCATGTCTATAATCCCAGCTATTTAGGAGGCTGAGGCAGATGGGTCAAAAGTTCAGGATCAGCCTGAACAACTTAGCAAGATCTCATTGCAAAACAGAATGAGAAGAGCTGGAGCTGGAGCTCACTGGTAGAGAACTTGCCTAGTAAGTGTGAGCCTCAGTGCCTGCTATGGGGATACACACACACACACACACACACACACACACACACACACACACACACAGGAAGCAGAGACATTAAAACCTGAAAGTTACACACATGCTCACCTATCTCCCAGAGCAATTCAGGGAGCGAGGTCTATCAGACTCCAGGCTGGCCCTGGCTTCTTCCTGCCTGCTCTCGTGACATTCCGTATTAAAGCCTCTCACCTGTTCTGCAGTTCACAACTAGTCCCTCTCCCGTCCTTCCCACCGCAGCCCCAAGGCTGTGCTTGCTGAGGGAGATTCTGGGTTATTCCTGAACATGGATGCTGAAGACCTGGTACATGGCAGGGTCACCAGTGAAGTTTGTTAAATGAGCAAAAATTGTATTATTTCTTCACCATTTTATCAGCGAAAATTAAAAGGAAAAATAAACAAGGCTAAAGAGGAAAGTTTCAGAATCAGCAGACAAGAAAGACCACTGCTAAATGTTTGTAATTGTATGTGTGCGCACACACACATATGTATGGTTTCTTGGCCCAAGAGTCATGATAGAAGCAACAAGCAGAAATGTTTGGACGTTGATGGAAGTTACCTGTTTCTCCAGGGCACATGGATTTAGGACAGCTGTGCCCGCAGGGAGGAGAAGGAAGGAAGCCCACGTGTCCGGGTGCCCATCAGACGAGGCTCCACAGCGTGGGGACAGGCAGAGCACGGAGCTCCAAGCGAGCTGCCACCTGCGTGCACCAATGTGACCAGGACGCTCAGACGTCCGGGCTGGCTGCCTACTGGGTCACCTTTGGCCCACACTGCAGTCCCTGCGCGTGTCCCCGTCCCCATTTACCTGCTTTTCTAAGGAGGCTCTGGGAAGGCAGAGGCAGTGTGATGCTGGCGCGAGAAGCACAGGTGTCTTTGAGGGCATGCGGCTTCCTGTGAGCACAGCTCTGTACCTCACGCAGCTCTGCTGAGCTCAAGTGGGGTTTTTGATAGAAGCAGGAAACAGATAAGTGACTCATTTCCAAAAATGGAAGGTTTGGGTTTTCTCTGATGGAGAAAGGAAGAATCTGAGAAGAACATAAGGAAGAAAATGAAGTAAGTTTTTTTAAAGACCTTTTATATTCTCAAAAATAGATTGATTGGGGCCTGGGGATGTAGCTCTGTGGCAAAGCACTTGCTGAACATGTGAGAGGCCCTGGGTTCAAGCTCTAGCACACCATACACACAAATTGTTATTGGCTTTTTAATGAGGAAAAAAGTTCCTTTTAACTGAAAATGTTCCTTGTACTTTGAATCAGGTTGGTAAATGCCCTGCAGAGTGCTGATGTTCTCCGAATGAAGAGGATCTGAGGAGGCCAGATGGAGAAGACCAAAGACAATTTAAAAAAAAAAGGGTACTCAGGCCAGGTGTGCCACACACCTTTAATCCCAGCTCCCAGTACGTGAGAGGCTGAGGCAGGAGGGTGGCAAGTTTTAGGCCATCCTGAGAAACTTGGATCCTGTCTCAAAACAAGAGGCTGGGGAAATAGTTCAGTGTTAGTGTACCTTGGGTTTGATTCCCAGTACCACCCCCTCCCCCCAAAAAGCACCTTGTAGAGAATAGTTTTTACAAATGTGTGTAGCTATAAGTGACTTGAAAGATATTAGTCAGTGTTCTCTGATGCAATAATGGACTTGTCCTCAGTGTCGTGTGAAATGACAGTGTAGCTTCAAACCCATGACCTCTCAAGCCCCTTCTGCTTGGAAATGTGGAGTTTCGCCATCATGATTAAAAGATCTAACATTTGTAAAGCACTTAGCATAGTACCTGATACATGTAAGTACCTAACAGTGGCAACAGCAGTGAGAATTAGTAGGATGAATAAAACACAGGGAAAGCTGCTTCTCCTCACAAAGTTGAGCCCTTTGCCATCGCTGGGATTTCAAACAATACAGGGTGACCACACTCAACGTTCCAGTCAGTGTTTAGATCAAAAGCAAGGTTCAGCTACACATGGTGGGGCACATCTGTAATTCCAGAAGTTTGGGAGGCTGAGGCAGGAGGATCAAAAGTTCAAGCCTAGCCCAGGAAACTTAGCAAGACCCTGTCTCACAATTTTAAAAAATGTTTTTAAGAGTTAAGAATATAGCTTAGTGCAAAAGCCCCGAGGATATAACTCAGGGCAAAAGCACTGGGTTCAACACTCATGACTGGAAAGATTTGAATACTAAATTACAAAAAACCCACTTCCCCCCAAAAGGCTGGGTTTTTTTGTTTTTTTAACATAACATCCATTTCACACATGAGGAAATAGGAACCCAGAGAGGGAGGCTATGCCCAAGGTATCACAGCCAGTGGAGATGGGGCTGGAGCCAATACCAGATTCCCGACATTGCCATGGATGTAAGGTGCCAATGGACTTAACTTCCAAAATTTGAGCAGAGGACCAAACAAACCCCCAAGCCCACCCTCACCAAGACTCCCAAACTCTGCCCAAAACTAAGTTGGTACAGGGCAGAACCCAGGCCTGGTGTCTAACATGAGACTATAGCGACCTCTGGTGTATGTGTGAAGCCCTATTTGAATACCAAAGATAGACATCAAGGCCAATTCCCCAGGCTAAAGGTACTAACTAAACTGACCCAGAGAGGACAGCATTTCTGAAAACGAGAGTCAGATACCCACCGACCTACAGCCTTCAAGAGGAGCCCACAGGGTCCCACTGCAGCACAGTAGTGGTTAAGCATCCAAGCTCAAACAGAGAAATACGCAAGCCGTGGTCACACAGAGCCGTATGCAGGGACAAGGTAACAAGCACTCCAGCCGTACTGCATGGTGAGGTGAGGTAGGTTTCAAGGCCTTTCTGCCAGTGGATGCCCTGATTGGATCTGGTGGGCTTGGAGAAGAGGGGTACACCCCCAAGTGTACGCGCTACCTGGCCCCAGGACGATTGGGGCTGCTGTGACCCCTAAATATGAGATCGGATAAGGAAGAAACTGGGGTGTTGACTTAGTGGCTCAAAAAGAAAAACTGACCAGCCTCAAGCCAGGACCTCAAAACTGGGTCAAGACAACATTTAAAGCAACAATTATGCTGGGCATGGTGGTGCATGCCTGTGAGCCCAGCACTCCGGAGCTGAGGCAGGAGGATCACTGTAAATGTGAGGCCAGCCTGGGCTATAA